ATTTTTTTACATTTAATACATTTTATTTTCACGACAACGATAAAAAAGACGAAACAATGTGATCTTGCAAACGCGAGAAATGGAATAGGTAAAGATGTTATTATGTTTTAATATAAAATACCGACGTCCGCRAGCCTCGTGTAGATTAAGTTCGCTACGGTCTTGTTTTGAATAGAATTCCGTCAAAAACATAGAGGTCGAAAACATTTTTCCGTTAAGTCTTCCTATCAACCGCGCTTGATCRATGATTAGCTATGCAAAAGTTTCGTTATTGTCATATTTTTTCTTTTTTTATTCCACTGTTATTATAAAATTAACATTTAAGTAAACGAAAAATATTGTTAATATACGTTGAAACGAATTTGGATATTATTTTTTAATCCATTTCAAATTTTAATTTTGAACTGACTACGATCGAGTCCTCGACACTCCACTCCCCCCCCTGATTTATAATACAAGTGAACCACAACTATACAAAATGGTCGTATACATATTTAATAATTTATCATTATAATTATTAATATGATCATATGACTACAATTAAACTGCGCGAGTATAATAATATTTTATGTATAGGTTATACCTTATCTTGATTTATATTTAATTTTTTATTTTGATTCATTATTGTTTAATTTGTTTTAATTTTTAAATACAACAAAATATTTTTAATGTTATTTTTAATAATATTTCTGAAATAATTCAGTAGTATTAAGGATATTTATTATTTATATTTATTATAGGTATATACTATATATATATAAAAGGTATAGTTTATGATGTTACATATTTTTCAGTATTTTATAATATTTGTCTATKAAAAAAAAATACATAACTTTATATTTGTATGCATAAATTACTGTGTATATATTATATAGATTTAACAAGTATAATTACCACATTGGCGTCATTTAAAGGGATTGTACATAGTAATATCTTGGCTCTGTGGCTCTGTCCTTTTTTTAAATACCTATTGGCTATTACTGATCCGATTGATGGAAATGGAAAGACCGAAAAAAGTTTCTAATAAAAATATGTTAAGTTAGGTATTTTTTCTAACCGTATCAAGAACACATTTCTGTAAATTTTAGTATTTATAATAATACAACATAATACATCATAATTATAATTGATAACTAAAGATATTATTGTTGTAAGATAAAATATTTTAACATCATGACATTATGGTGTGTAATGCTGAATGTTACAAATATTTTAACGAAAATTACAAAAATTGTTTATGAAATTATTAACTACTGATGCAAAAACCTCGGAAGTAAAAATAATTATTATTTGCAGTGGGTAAAATCAATATTGCTGCCAAAATGACGTCACTGTATTGAATTACTATTTTTAAATAAATTATTATATTTTGCATACAATGTATGTATTGATTTTACCATGATGTTTGTGTTTTTTTGTGTCTGTCATCGCGTTTTGGGGCAATAAAAATGCTTAGATTTTCGACTTCAGTACTTCGTTCGATCAGAAAGTGAATCTAGTTGGTA